TGTGAAAGTAAATTTAAAAGGCATAAAATGTTGATTCAAATCATTCATACTTTCTATTATCAAGGAGATTTCATGTTCTTGATGTGGAATTTATGAAAAGTCTAAAATACTTTTGATTTTTGCTTTTGAATATAATTCATTTTAAGGCTACAAATGGCTCCCCATTATGTTTAAGTCACAGTTAAGCTCGACTCAGGATCTTTGTGAAACACCCCCAGCACTGCCAGGCGCGGATCCAGGATTTCTTAGGAGAGGGGGGTAGGGGGGTAGGGGGGTAGTGGGTAGTGAGCACAATTTTTTTTTTGGTCCTCGAAAATTTTAAAATTTGCACCCCCCCCCCTTGAGCGCCAGGGGGGGAGGTCCCAACCCCCCAAAAAAGGTAAAAATCGTGTGATTTTGCATGATTTTTTTCTCAAGGGGGGGGGGGGGGCCAGGCCCCCCGGCCCCCCCCCCCCTGGATCCGCCACTGAGCACTGCATACATCAACGGAAATGATATTATGCTCCAATAGCTAAATATTTAGCCAATCAAAATGACATGTTCTTAGTCTTATTTGATTATGAACAATAATTCTTGCTTAGCTTGTTGTGTTGTTTTGTTATTGTTCTTTTTGTTAATTTTGTTTTATTTTGTTTTTGTTATTGTTGTTTTATTTTGTTCTGTTTCTTCTTTTTTTTTCATTCTGCATCGTTATTCCCATTTCATGAAAATATGAAAGGACATATATTATAACAAAACTCACCTCATGCATGACTTTACAGTCAATCACAGGGCTGTACACTCCCAACACCAAACAAGATCAGACAATGCAAACAGATCGACAAGAAATGTCATATTTTATTGGCTTCTCACATGTGGAAGCAATATGTATATGTTAGAAATTCTTCTCTTTTTACAAAAAATCTATATGATCAGCTCACGATACATCACGTTGACATTATTATCTAAAATCACAAAGTTGATAGAGTATTGCAACATTATAAGTAATCGTGTGATGCAAAAGATGACAAGAAAATAGAACTGTGGTATTAAAGATGTAAATAACAGAATTCATATAGCAAAATAATAAGGAAATCAATTTACAAGTATTCAAGTTTCCATAGAAACTGAGAAATAGATATGCTTCATCTCATCCTTCTTATATACAGTCATTGTCGTTGAAATAATTATGTAGAATGCATTTCAAATTTGACATCATAACTTAGCAACATTACGCTGAATTGTCATTTCTTTGCATTTTTTAATGCACATTTTGTAACACTTTATTATCCAAAGCTGATACAGACTCACGTAATCATCATACTTAAATTCAAGACAGCACACATTTGATCTTGCACAAATATCATCAAAAATTTACTGCACGAAGTTTGATATTACTTCAAAATACACATGCAGTATCTTGACAAAACTTCAGGTAGCTTGCATAATTGAAACTTAGATTTGTTTTGCTGACTTCTACAAGAGTATATTTCCTCATTTGCTCTATAGAGGACTCTTTGCTATGAAAACGAGCTAAGGTCGTCCATGACAATTCGATATATCATTTTCTTTAAACACAGTTATGAAAATATATAAGATGCGTTCTAGCTTCCTACACTTCAGTTTGCAGAGTTCCAGTGTTCTGTAGACCGCAATTCATATTATGCACTCAAATGCAGTTTTAAAAAAAAATTAATCTAAAAAAATAGTACAACAAAATAGTACATTTCAACAGAAAAAAGAGGCATAACAAGTCAATTAGGCAGAGCTATATTATAAACATAGTGTAAACTACCTTTACCAACAAAAGAAGAAAAAAAAAGTTTACCTGGGATTCAATAAGTGCAAAAAATACCTCTTGTCAATTTATCTTTTATGAACTTAATATGACATTGCATTGGAAAAGATTGTCAGGAAAAATCACATTCAAACAAAAACGTCATCAATCATATCTAAAAATAAACAGATCTCATGCAAATCACATATATTTTTGAGAATATCAAAATAGTAAAAATCATATTAAAATCAGCAGAAATAAAGAAACTGCGTCAAAAATGTTACTTCATCAAAAGTAAGGATGGAAAAAGAAAAAGTACATTCAGCCAAAATAGTACATGTTAAAGAAAAGAAATTGTTTTTATCTGGATGTATGTGACTTTACATTCAACCTACTACATATTTACTTCGTACCCTGTTTTCAGAACAAAGGAGGAATTTTCCATGCAGCATTCAAATCAAATCAACTATTAAACAAACGAAAATAAATCTTACACCAACAAATGAAATCATAAAAAAGATACGGATAAGAAATATCGATGTACTTTGGGTAAAGAAAAACAAAAATTAAAACAAAAATTAAGGCATGGCCGAACAAAACAAAAAATGGTAATCAAAGCCTAGGACAGACACCAATTCTGTTGTGTATTTGTACCACTAAATGCAGTTGTGTAGGAAATTCTAATAAAACAGTTTTTAGAATGTCACCAGTACAAATACAAGGATAAAGCATTACTTTTCAAAGCCACTGATCTAATTTAGGAGGTTAAAATGCTTGAAGCAAACCCTGTATTCGCAATGCTCCTGATGTTTGTGTTCATTATGGTAGATGCGCATATCCACCTGCACGTACAACATGACCTTGTTATCTACCCGAATGACCCTAAACTCTGTCTCCAAATGACGAGGTGTAAAGGTAGCAAATAAAGATCATAACTATCCCACTAAACTGTTCTTATATTACCACAAATTTAGATACCACCAGCTGAGGTAAAGAAAAACAGCTTCAAATATGTCTACTTCTTGACTTGCAGTGTGCTTAAAAAAAAAAACTTCTAAAAATGTCTGAAGAAAAGTAAATGAATAAATAACTTCCTGGAATGCAAATTGCAATGCTGACCATTAATGAATAAGTAAAATTGGTATATGTACACGGTTTAAAAACGATCAGCATCCTGAAACAGAATCAATGTATAATACAGGGAAACCTGTCTATAAAGATCACTCAAGGGAGACAAGAAAAGTTGTCTTTAGAGGCAGGTGGTCTTCATGTACATGTACAGGTTCCTTTAGTACATATTTAAATGAGAAACCATTTTCAAGGGAAACAAAAAATATGGTCTCTGTGGACAGGTGGTCTTTCTAACAACCATGTAAGGTAGATTTAAAAGTGAAATTCAGTGGCACAAAAAAACAAATAAAGCGGAACGTAACATGCATAATTACAGAAAATAATACTTTCAACGCATAGAGGTAGAACCATATCATTATGACATTTTCCTCTACAACTCTGCAAAACTCCTCAAAAAGCTAACAACAAAAGACAAGTTACCGTAATACACATAAATGTACACATAAAATACTAGGAATTAAATCTTGTAGTTTGTGTGCTTTTCAGGCAATAAAGGTGCATAATTTGTTACTTGAATACCGTTCAAGCACCATAAGAGAAATATCAGAATTTCTTTCAGATCTTGCTCCTATAATGAAAAATTAATTTGGTAAATTAACAAAAGTAAAATACAAAAGGTAAGAAGGAGGGAGCTAAACAAAAAATAGGAATTTAAAACAGGTATATACCAACAAAGAAAAAAATATAATTTTTCATACCACAATATCATAATTAGTATAAACATTTGAACTTGCAAATATATTTACTATTTATTCATTACATGATCGGTAATATTAATTTGAAAAAATAAAATCTTCCATATACTAAAAAAAAGAATATCACTAATAATAAATCAGACATAAAATTTTGAGAATAAACCAACTCTAAATAAAAAAATTTTTTTTCATGCAACAGCTATCTAATCCCAAAAAGGTATTAAAAAAGATTAATTTACATGTTAGACTCTTGAAAACAAAAGAGTTTTGTATATACATAAGCTGCTAAAGACGTGACTAATAACTTCAAGTGAAAATTCTTCAAGGTCCAATAGAGATGGTCTACAGAGGTTAGGTTTAAAGTACAAGTTCACTCCAAAAATAACTTACTTTCAATAGAAGCAGGAAAATCAGACAAACCAATCAAAAAAGGTTTGAGCAAAATCGGATAACTAATAAGAAAGTTATGAATTTTTGAAAAAGTATGTAAAACTATAGAACAATGGAAATCACTACACAAATTGACAGATCATATTTTGACACACATCAGCTTCGCATCAAGTCTACATTTCCCAATCAAAGGAAAGAACTTAAGCCTGGTTTCAAATAGAATTCAAACCCACATGTAAAACAGAAACTTTCCCCTTTGCAATGTTTGAAAACCCCACGAGTTTCATGCTGCAAAATTGAATCACTACTGAAACACTGAATTCTTGCATTTCACAAATGTTTCTTGCTCTTGAAAATCAATGTTGTTGTTTACATATCATGAAAATTCTGTGTTGTAATTTAAGTTTCTGGTTTTTGCAGTACTCTGGGTTATGCTTGGTCCAAATTCAAGTATCAAAATAATGAACTTTCACTGTGTAGCTTGCCCTTGTTAACACAACATTGTCACAGCATCAAGTTAAACTGAATGAGTAGAATGTGGACCTTGGTGTCATAATAGCATCTGGGCCCCATTTCACAAAACATGTCATCAGTGACAAATGACAGTTTTTGTTTCTTTGCTTCTGATTGGTTATCAGCAGATTTGTCACTGATTTTTGTCATTTGTCATTGAAAAGAGGCTTTGTGAAACGGGTGCCTGAAGTAGAGATCCCCGCCTTGGCTTTCAGATCGATTGCAACTGTCTACAAACATGACACACATAGGCAATCAAAACGTTGTGACTGATTGATGGACTTGCAATAGACTTGGGCCAATCACATGACTTTAATGAACTGGTCCTAGACTTGCTTCATCACTGTTTCTATCACTTATCAGCACAAGAGTGACTACATCTTGTATCCACTTCTACAAACTCGACACAGGAATCTCCTAGTCATCAATGTATTCAAACTGTTATAATGTAACATGCTGATAGTTTCTGTGACATGTATTAGAGAAATTTGATCTTCTCATGTACAGAGTGTTTGAATTTACAGCCTGCCATGCACCAAGATTATCTTCAAAACATATTTCATATACACTGTAGTCATTGAATATCACTTTTGTAACAGTTTGCACATAAATCGTTTAACCTTTCCGTGTTTGATCTACCTTGTCCATTTTCCTGCAGCACAATATCAAATTTGCTATTCATAATCACATAATTCCATTCAATTTCCATTTACAAACACCTACACCATACACTCATGATGGCTGGAGGTGCACTGTATACCAAAACATTTGTTATATTGCTGCAACGTACATGTATAGAATCTATAGATTACTGGCATGATAATACTGGTTACCTTAAAGCATTTAAAATCCCATACCTTGTTAGGATGGCATATATATGCTACCAAAATAGAAATATTTTACAATAAATAGCACTCCATTTTTCTTTCTACTATATATACAAGTTGGTCATCGAAGGGGTACCAACAAGAGTCTAGACGCTCCAGAAATTCTGGTGAAACTGTGTGAAATTTTTGTTTTCTTTCTCTCTCACTGTCATCCACTGATGTTACCTGATATTGTTCTCTTCTTTGAATTTTTTTTTTGGGGGGTAAAATTGTGAAAATCTAACTTATCTGCCCTTCACAGTAAAACTTAAGAATCTCTCATAGCAAAATTACAAATGCAGAGTATTTGTAAGGTTTTAAAAAGAAGATTTTAGAATTCATACCATTAGTATGAAGGCCAAAAAAAAAAGGAATTGTTCCTCCAGAACGGGAATGGTTGGCAACAATGCTCTCACATATTACGCAACGTGTTAATAGTCATTGTTGTCAAATACAGATCTGTCCATTAAAGTATAGTACAAAACCTGTCATTTGGCAAATTAAGTGAACTACAGGATTTCATCAATCTTGATTAAAATGGATTTGTATCTTATAGCTAACTACAATGGAACAATGTACATGGTTATTGATTTAGCAAGTAGTACTGAAATCACAGACACCACAATGGGTCTTGGTTGAGAGTTAGTCAAAAGTAGTCATCAAATTTTAGAAAATGAAATGAAATCCATTCTCCGAAAAATCATTAAGTAGATTATGAAACCTTTACTTCTAAAGACGTATCAGATTTGGAGATTTATATTTTGGTAAATTGCTCTGCAGGTACCAAAGTTTCCTTCTGGCCTAGCAGGTATGCCAAAAGAATAATAGTTTTGAATAATGATTAAGATTAATAAACAAATTTTTGTAATATTCCACCATCACCTTTGCCCTCCAGAAATGGGGCCATTCCCCCTTCTTTTATTAAGTGTCCAATTCGGGGCAGTATAATGCATACTTAATATGGTTACATTCAAGTTATACAGGATTCTATGAAACATTACGATCACTTGTGGGCTTGTGATGGAAAAGTGTCATAAAAGGGAGGATAAACAGAGAACTGAAAAATTTTGAACAAAAAAAGAAGAAAACATCTTGGAAGTATTCAGTATGAGAAGCCTGTAACCTAGCACACGATTGCAGAGTGAGCTTAGCATATATGATCTCCTGAGAGCCAGAAGGCATTATCTTACATGATTTACACAGAGCTAAGGCCCTTCTGGCTTCCAGCTGAGACGATAAAAGGTTTGTTGATATTTAGTACATGTACGAGTAGAGGCACGTAGCATGGGTCCAACCATTGAGAGGGCACTGACATTAAGGGGGTGTGGGAGGGAGGGGGAGGGGGGCTATGGTAAAGAGAATGTGAATCTATTAGGAAACCAATAGGCCATTGTCGTAATGCAATCAATTTTAATGCACAAATCTTTGTTAAGTGCCCCATTACAAATTATTTCATTCACCTGTTAACAAATAATTGTATTTCGACAGTCAGAATGCGAATAACATGCATTGATTGTTGCTAGGTGGGACAAACATTATGGCTTGTCCTACCTCAGTATGCAATTCGCATTCTGACTGTTGAAATACAATTATTCGTAACAGGTGAATGAAATAATTTGTAAAGGGGCACTTAACAAAGATTTGTACATTGAATTTGATTACATTACGAAAATGGCCCCTTAGACAGATCCGGGTCCTATCATCTTCTTTCTCATCCTTTTTCTGCACTCTCTTTCTCTGGTTCCTTGTCTACCTTTTCTGTATTTTTTTTTGGCCATTCAACGGGGGGATGGGGGGGGGGGGGGGGGAGGGGCACACACCTGAAAATTGTGTAAATTTACAGGGCATCTAAACTGGACTGTACATCATATGCTAAGTTTCAGGCTCACTCACAAGAGATCACACATCATGGATCACACATCATATATCCTGGCTTCGTTGTTGCGTCCGACTCTGAAGGTAGGGCTGATACCCCTTCTCAGTTGGCGTCATACATCATGATAGGCCTTGGCGTGCCCGTTGGCCTTCTCATGCTCCGTCAAGATGCGCCCATCTACAAGGTCAGAGTTCACCATCGGCAGGACGTTCTTGGACCGGGTCTGGTCAAACTTCGCCTGAAAAGTAAAAGAGAGGTGGGCATTAAATATTTGATAACAATGGGAATAATGAACCATTTTTTTTCAATCATTGTCTGGTTCAGTCAACATTTTGGGCTGACCAGGTAGAGAGAGTTGGTGTACATCATATGGAATGACTTATAGTCTGAAGTTTGAAGTTTGAAGTTTATTTGTTCCACATTTACATCAAAAAAACAATTTAAATTCCTTTTTTTCTTTTATTTACAAGCGTAGAATAATCTAATTTCCGGATTCTATTCATAAGATTTCAGCCCTCAAAATCACTTCTATAGACCATCTATTAAACTCATTGATAAAATGGTTAACAGTCCATAGCTGTCAGGTTTAACTCCCAGAGCCCCAAAACATACCCCAAAAGCACACTCACCAGATTGTAACAGGTGACTCCAAGCAGGGCCGTTGTCATGCCGATGACGTTGAGAGGCGTGACTGGATTCTTGAGCATTATGAGTGACATGAGAACCACAAAGATCCTCTTGGAAGCATTGGCGATGGAGTAGCTCAGCGGAGTCACCAGGTTGAGGACGCTGAACGCAAAGATGTTCTGGAAGAAGTTGAGAAGACCACTGAAGAACAGGAGGGTGAGGGTGTATGACCAGCTGATAGTTGTAAGCTGTTCAAATCAAATCAAATCAAATCACATCACATCAAATCATGTAAACTGAAATGAAATTCTGACATATGCTCTGAAATTCTAGAAGTTAAGAAGACAGATGGAGAACGATAGAGAAAGGATGTTCTGATTACATCGCATCATATACATGTATCTTATCGTATTGTTTATTTAAAAACAAATCCTGACATGCTACAGTGTAATAGAAGTGGAGGAGGGCACTTTCATTACAAATGTTCAAAAACATAATTTGATACTTTTGAGTTTCCCACCACAAGGAATGTCCCCCGACATTGTTATTGTATTACTTATATTCCTTGTACTCCAAACCTTGATCATTAGGATTTTACATATATGAATACCAATGTTGAATACCATTGCAAATTCTTCCCACATAGGATTGAATCAGGTTGTACAGTGTGTAGTACGCTTGAAATATTTTAAATATCTTCCTGTCTGAGGCTCTGAAGAATGATATGAACATTAACGATCAAAAGTTAGTACGTTTAAGCCTTCTAGTCAATGTAAAAGCAAAATCCGCTTGCAATATTCTTTGTCTTTCGAACCTTGATCATTAGGATTTCACATGTTTCTATTCAATAGCATTCAATAGTATTCAAGTTGGATAGGATGTTAAATGGAGGCCCCGTGTAGAGGAGAGTCACCACCTTTGCACGTTAAAAACCCACTGCACTATTTGTATAAGAGAAGGAGGAAACCCTGGTGTAGTGGCCCACCTGCACACCCCAGTATACCAGATGGACCTTCTGGAAGATTAGCCCTGTGCTAAACAAGTTATCCAATAAAGTCTACTACTACTACTATTGGAAATTCTTCCAAACTCTGATCGTATTCAGGTCATATAGTGCACAGTGCGCTTGACACCTTCCTGAAGTCCCCATCCTAGCTGATCTTCTTGAACATTTGTACTTACTACTTTTCTATCTACAATGATTCTTCTGAAGTCCAAGAAACACCATATAGGCAGCAGCATGAGAGACCCTATCTGGCCCAACATCAGCAGCAGCCTTAGATGGTGGATCTTTAGGTCTCGAAGAGCCTAGCATAAAAGAGCAAACAAACATAATCTTGATTCATATCAAACATTTTTTAAAACAATTGTATGTGTATAAGAGCTGGAGAGCTTTAAGATTTAAGCTTGAAACAAACTACATCTGAGGAACTAATGGATGATATCTTACAGGTGAATCTTGTAAATAGTATTTAGAGTCTCTAGCTCTTTGCATCTTAAATACAGTCTTAGTGTCTATGGACAATTTCATAAAAATTATCAAACTAATCATTTTACCCTCCAACAAATTCAACACAGTACAATGTTTGGGGAGCAAATGTAAACAACTTTTGTAACATAACAATTCAAGGTGTAGATTCCACATATAAACACCTGCCAAAATATCTTCTTTGCCAGGTAAAAATTTGTTTTAAATGAAATAACGAGTGCAACACAATATTGGTATAATTATTCAAGTAGAGCAAAAGAAAATTATTAAACTGCAACAGATGTTCGGAAACACATTGGTTCTACAAGATACTATCCGATTTCGTCCATGTATCAACAATGTGACTTGTAAGCAAATTGATTTACAACCAACAGCTGCTGTGATCAATGTACAGAATAATGCCTGATAAATCTGGTTAATTATTAATATCAGACACAATATGCTGTCCATATTTCAATACTAGATGCTTGTTGTATCTTGTTGTATCTTGTTGACTCTTTTCGTGCCCTGGGCAACCCACCTTGTCTAAAAACATCAAAGTACTATTGTATGTTTGGACTAACAGTACAGTAGCTACAAAACAAATGAACAGATAATTTTTCTATTTTTGATACATGGAAAGAAATTGGATTTAAAAAAAATGGAAACGAATACCTACCTGTACATGTATTGTGAAAAATGTTCACTATGGTTAAGTTCTACATGTACATGTACATGTATACCTACCGTAAAAGACAATCTTATAAGAAAATAAGTCTTGAAAGTTTGTTTATGGGATGTTTTCAGAAACCTATGGGAAAGTAGATTTGAACTCCTTCCTTCACACACGCCTTTCTCACAAGTCAGAAGAAGAAAACATGCACAAGAAGAATATGTAGCAATTTGGACATTATCACTATAAACATGACGGACAAAGAAAGAGGACAAAATATACAGTTCCTCATTCTACCCTCAATAATTGATCTGGTAGACAAAGGAACATCCCTTCAATGCTATTATGTAAAAATGTGTAAAACAGGTGTCACATGCATATTCACCTGTTCTACAGATTTTTACATAATATCAGTGAAGGGATGTTCCTTTGTCTACCACAGCAATTGTTGAGGGTAGAATGAGGAACTGTATATTTTGTCCTCTTTCTTTGTCCGTCATGTGTTCATAATGTATGGTACTGTATGCTCACCCCTTCTTCAATCATAGAAAGACAATGGATGATCGGCATAATCTTAAACCTTTCTCCCACCCTCCTCCCTCCCCCCCCCCCCCTTCTAACAAGTTCAAGAGAAAATAAATAAATTTCAATTTACCTTTTTAGAGTATACATTCTGGAGGGCGAAGGTAATGGTGGAAGTCAGAGCAGCGATGAGACCAAACATATCAAAAGAGAGTTCAGTCAAGGTCGCGATCATCACACCACAGATGATGGGAACTAATGCTAAATATACCTGAAAATAGCAAAAAATATATACATGTACAGTGTATTCAGGTCAATATAACAAATCCAGGTCAAGATAACAAAATATTTACATTGCAACCCAAGTGTGTTCGGTAATCAGGTACATGTATATCCTTCACCTGCTCTTATATTTTGTACTATAATTGTACGAATGCAAGTGCATTCCTTGCTTCACTGGAGTGAAAGTTTCGCATTAATGAAACATATTTGTAACTGTATATTTTGGTATTACTATTTTTAAATGAATCTATTTAATTTTTGACTTATATAGTTCACCAAATATAATTGTTACCTTTTCAGCTATAAATCTCCCTCATTGAAAAGTATAGGTTTTTTGTTATTGAATTTAAATGTCTCTATAGCTAAAGCTTGGTGCATGATACATAGTACAAGTTCGCCTTGTACGTCACATTATCAAGAAAATGGTTGCACCCATGTCACCCTAAATCTTCATTTGCATATCTCTTGTACACTTTTGTAGGGAATATTGTACATCAATAGACATGAATAAAAGTCCTCTTTCAGCAGACCAACACGTAATCTTTGGGGGTGAGGTTCCTTTCAACATTGATCTACCAGTCCAAAGTATGAAGTAGACACACCTCACACTATGTCACATAATGCCGTCTATGAAATAAAGAGGTCCAATCATCCAATCATGTGTGACGTAGTGTGATTGGCATCAACTAATCTTATGAGAAATACTGAATGCACTCCATGAAAGTGCCAGTATTGTTGTATGTTCAATCATCAAGAGCCCCTTCAAAAGTGTTGGGAGCCCAACATATTTGATAGCAAAATTTCACTGAAATTGTATCATAATATGATAATGTGAATTTCTGCAAGGATTTTCAAAACAATGTGTTTGAAGTTGAATATTGATGAGAAAATACAAAATTTAGGTTTACTGCGTACAACAGAAAACGCAAATAATGTATTACTTTATCAATATTTGTCTTCAAACACATTGTAGGGGGGGGGGGATCTTTACAAAAGTGTGTCTTAAATGGCATCCTCTTTCACATTATGATACAATTTAATTGAAATTTTGCCATCAAATTTTTGGCAAGTGTGGGGCTCACAACAGTAAAACACTTTGGAGGAGCTTTAACATGATAATAGGAACCAGCAGCAGTTCACATATATGGATAAGTGGCTTTTTCACTTCACTTTTAATCAAGAGGTACATGTACAGAGTTTCATTGCTGGTGCCTTATATCTGTGGAATAATAAATGATGTTCATGTTCCTGGTGGTGAATTCTCTGTAATTTACTCTCAGTTGATAAAATATTGTGATGATAATACAAATACAAAGTTAATGATTATCACAGAACATTAAACAGAAAGTATTATTTCATCATCATATAAAAATCATGATTTAATTTTGTAAAACATTTACAGTTATTTTGTTTTTTAAATTTAAATTTTAGTGGAATAGAATTCTGGAATGACAAGAAGACTGTACATCAACTACATGTACAGCACGCACTAGCTGGGCCCTGTTTCATAAAACGAGTTATCAATAACAAGTTACAGCGTGTATTAACTGTTAAGCTACTGAAAATCATGGCATTTGATTGGCTGAGACGGGGTCCTGATTTTGTTCATTCAATTATTAACAGACATCATCACAGATCTTGGTGCTCTTCAGCAAGTATAGAATAAATATGCTGGTCCTTTTACAGAAGTCTAAAAATATATTTTCCAAAGGGTAATAATCAGTTGCTAGCATTGACCTTTAATTTTTTCTAGGCTACATGTAATAGATCACAGACTATTTGCAGAGCGATTATACCCCTTTTGAAAAGTCAAGTGCATAGAAGTGTGGAAAATGGCACACAGATTGCCCACATATTGGTATAGAGCAGGAAATAAAGGATCTGCTTCACTGTTAATCAAAAATAATTCTGCTGGATGGGGTAATTAAGAACATGTTGATTTTCACGTCACACAATTGCTGGTACTTAGAATACTAGTAGACCATTTATGTTTTATAAACTTCTGCATCTTTTACCAGTCTACTTTTACCAAGATGCCAAAGCTATTTGCCTATTATCAGTTTATGTTTTGTTTTTCATCTTCTTACATTTGGACATTTTAATTTAGTCTTGAAGGCATGAACTACATACTGTATGTATGTAACATGTTCAAAGAGTGCTGTTAGATCTGAATTTATTGCAATTGCAAACCCTACAAAAATCTGAAATATGCATGACTTTGTGATTGATTGTGGTTTTTTAAAGTTGAATGTGGAGCCTCTGGACAAATTGCTAGCTCTTATATTAAAGACAGAGCATTGAACACTCTGCTTCAGTCAGGAGAAATAAAAGATGTGTTGAGATTCAGAAATGACAACAGCTAGGGAGTCCAACGTAAACTTTAGTCTTGCATTTATTCACCAAAGAAAACACAGCCCCTGTACAAGAACAAAATTTGAACGAAATATAATTAGCATATAGCCTCTGGAGCAAAATGTAATAACAAACAATTCATGGTTTCATTTGCTTTCTTCCATTAAACAGAACAAATTAAAGTGTAAACATTGCAATAGTTTCCAACTCAACACGAGTCATCAATTAATACATTATTCAATTTTCAATAATAATTCTTATTATGTGCAATATCATGAAAGGTAGCTTAACTGTTTTAATTGTCTGTAGCAGTATAGTTGCCATAATTAATTAGAACATATATAGGACAGAAGAATATTGTACATTTTACATCATTTCGTGCAATAATCGGTTTACAATTGCATGTATATTAGGTCATATATATATCTATACACAATAGAGCCAAACTCCACTCACCGGCCAATACTATAACGACGAAGCAACACTAACGCTATATGCTGTCGTCCGACCCCTGATCATAAACAAAGCTTCCACCTTATTGTAGAAAGTGTAGTTCATCAAATAAGGAGATTTCACCACATGCAGCCCTAAAGGTAACAACAATAAAATAACAATTCTTACTTCACAATAATGACTTTGTGAAAACTGCATGACACAATGTAATTACATTCAAATATATATATATATAAATCCTCTTTGGTAGTCATTCTTTTAATTGACTTTGTTTAACAGAAACATGTTTTCAATCTATATAAAGACAAACTTAAAATTAATTTAATTTGTCAGAGTAATTATCATTTCATCATTATCAGAAATTCAAGCATAATAATCTACTTTATAAAGCATGATACATGTAATGCAAATGAAATAAGTTAATCACATTTATCATAAAGTGTCATTATATCAGTGTACATACAACATGGTTCAACAATCCTCAACTTTCACTATCTTATCTTCAGCAATTCATAAAATGTGACATCCATTAATAATATGAAATATATATAATAATCATCAGTTCCAACAGTATAAATCAACTTACATGACTTGTGATCTGCCAGAAGTAAATAACAATCTCCATTAGCAGGCACAAATTAGTGCTTCTCTCCTCTCTCTCCAATCTACAATGTCTCTCTGTCCCTGCTATAGCAGCTCTGGGTGCACAGACCCCGAACAAAAGAAAATCACTCATCCACTAAAACTTACAATAGGATCCCCAATCATGCCTATAGGGTATCAGTACATTGGGCAATACAGGTACCCCCAAAAAGGCGGGAAAGTAAGGCTATTGTCTGATGAGGAAGGGGGGGGGGGGTAGCTTACATTGTAGACTGCTCCACCTACAATTCCTTATACACTAATGCACCAATACACTATAATACATTATGGCATAATTACCTCAACATTCCATATTACAACATATTCCCCGCAATTAATGTCATAATGTTTGATAAAAATGATACATTATTACGAGCGAAATTCCAAATCGTCACCTTTCCCCGCAATTAATGTCATACTGTTTGACCGAGATTTTAGCAATACATGAAAATATAAGCAATGAAAATCTTTCTATAATACACTTCCCCGCAATTAATGTCATAATGTTTGACCAAAATGTTTTTCAGTAGTATATGAAAATACAAAACAATGTTCTTTAAAACATTATGCATAGCATTAATAACACATCACATCTTAATCTGACAAGTAAATATTTAATTCTTGTCTTCAAATTCAAAACTCTCTTCTTTTTTTTTTTTTTTTTTACTCTTGTAACGCCGATATTGGAAGCCGCAGTGGATTTCTATGCTGGCCTTTAGTTACTCGATTAGACCTCCTACGCGGTACCTCGGGACTGGGGTTCTCAAGTTGAGAGTTGTCTATCTCATCAGGTACTATATCTCCGCTCAGATTGAGAACGTCATCCGTACCATTTTCTTCATTCTCAACATTTGCTCCGTCGTGGTCATTTCCCTCATCTGGAATATATTCATCGTCACGAATGTCTACTCGCAGGTTGTTCTGATCCCCTGAAATATTCATCGGTCGATCCCACAAGAAAGTGAAAGAGGGGGTGTTCTCTTCTATAGAACGAGTCGAGGGGTGTTGTGACGTGGTATGGTCACTTCTGCTTTCCTGAACAATATGAACTGGCATCTCTTCACGTGGGTCTGGAATCAGCAACCTTCTGTTCACTACTTTGGTTGGTCCTCCTAACATTGGTCGAATTTTGTAAACGTCACCCGTGTCATTTACCGCCGTGATTATGAAGGGATCTCTCAACACTTTGTCGTCAAGCTTGTGTCGACCCTCAAACGCGCACTTCTTGATCAGTACCCGGGTGCCAATGCTTAGTGTGGAACTCATTGGTAGAGCATCATGTCTGATCTTTTCACTTCTCAAGATCGCTTCCATGTTTTGCTTAGCAACCGTATGAGCATGTTGTAGCGACTTCGAATGCTCTGTAAGAAAGTCCTCATTCCAGTCTGCTTCGCTATTCCCAATTAGCTGGTCGATTGGTGTGTGCGGCTCTCTCCCATACAGGAGACGGTATGGCGATAGCCCTGTTGTTCCATGAGGGGTGCAGTTGTATAGGAAAACCAGCTGGTGGATCAGCCCAGGCCACTTTCTCCGACGATCTGG